ATTTTCAATGTTTATTTACAAAAATTTTCGAAAATATTCAAAAATTATACTTACCTTTACCTACCTTTTATTTACTTACCTTATTTCCTTGTTTTATTATTTTTTACAGCATTAAGTATTTTTCAACAGTTTTCTTAATTCTAATTTTAATATACAAATATGTATAAAATGTATATACTTATTCAATACATATAAAACGTACATTAATGTCTGTTAAAATTTTTGACCAACAGATTGGACAATAAAGGCAATGAAATTAATCAGAAATCGCTATTATCTTTTGAATGCATGAATTTGTTGATTAAATATGGACAAGGAAAGCAAAAAATGATGAAGATAAATGAAAAATTATAGAATCACTGTCATGTCTAATATGCTCTTGATAAAACTTAAACAAGGATAGCAAATAAAGAGAGAAAGATAAAAATAAGATGAGAATTGACAGTTAGTTCCATCTCTTAAATATCAAAAATATTATAACGGAAACAAGAATGAAAAAGGAAAGAATTAAAGTTTAGTGCCATCTATTGAATATTTTCGCAATGATAATGACGCTAAAGTTTAATTCTTAGTAAAGATATCTTATCATGTTTTCGTAATAATGTTTTTGGCACTCAAAAGATGAAACTGACTGTCAATTCTCATTCTCTTTTTATCCTTTTTTCACTAATTTGCTATCCTTATCTATTAGTTTCATCTACAGCACTCTAGAGATGGCATTGATTCCATATTTTTCATTCTATTTTTATTCTTTGCTTTTCTTGCCTGTATTTGTTCGATATATTCATAGCTTCAAGAAACTATGCCGACTTCTGATTAATTTTATCATCTTTTTTGGCTAATATATTGATTAAAAATCTTAACAGAGATCATAAAATTGAAATTTTATATTATATCATAAGTATATACCAATTGTTAAATTTTATACAAATTTTGTATATATATATATATATTGCACCTGCAGTCTGATCTAAATAAAATACCCAAAGAGAATTTTATCTAGCCTCTAGACTGCAGGTGCTGCGTAGTTCTTTGCTTGATATCGATTTCTAAAGAATAATCTATGGAAAATTTTCAAAGGAAATATTGAAAATTTTTCAAAGATTATTCTATCAATCAATATCAATTACCAGGTCTCACCAACGAGGAGGTGACTACGCATCGAGACCCGCCTAAAGTTAATATAAATTAAGAAAAAAAAAAATTAATGATTAATTGTGAACAAATGAAAAAAATATATAGAATTTGGAATATGAATTAATATGATGAGAATTGAATAAATTAAAAATATATTAAATAACGTAAAAAATAATTTTATTATATAAAAATAAATCTGAAATATAAATTTGGATACAAATTACAAATCTTTATATTGATCTTTACAAAAGTATTGCATTTATCGCTTGCAATTAATCCCACATCGTCCAACGATGATGAATCCAATTTAATCTAAGCTAAATATCAAATTTCTAATCTATGATTCATGTATTCTATTCGCAATCCATATCAAAGATACGTTCATTTTATTTCAAGCGAAGCAAACTAATGTTAACGATATAATCAAAAATTAGCGTAAAGAAAAATTAAATGAGAGAAAATTTAAGAAAACCAATTCGAATCACTACCACCTTTATCACGATTTACATCAATCGATTTACAGAAATCATTAAACTCACCATGATCAATAGCAAACAACGACTTGCATAGTAATCGAGAGCATAATGTAATCGAAGACATTCAATGTACACGATCTATCTCGAATCAAG